GCACTGCGTTATATTCTGGCTTTGGGCTACCCAAGAGCAGCCTCCCCCCCCCCCCCGGCTTTTGAAGCCCCCCCCTTCCCTCTTTGTTAGAAGCCAAGCGGAGCAAGAGAACTCGCGTTAAGGAGCCTGGCTGGTTGGGGATTCTGGAGGGGGCAGCCAAGGCTGAAAAGCGACATCTCCAGATCACTGGGCACCTTTCAAATTTTAGGTTTCATTTGGAAACGCCTGTCTCCAGATTAACACAGCCCCGATCCAGAAGGAAGCGTTGCTGGGTTAGAGGGCTTTTCCTGTATTTCTCTCCCCCCCCCCCCAGGCTTTTGAAGCCCCCCCCTTCCCTCTTTGTTAGAAGCCAAGCGGAGCAAGAGAACTCGCGTTAAGGAGCCTGGCTGGTTGGGGATTCTGGAGGGGGCAGCCAAGGCTGAAAAGCGACATCTCCAGATCACTGGGCACCTTTCAAATTTTAGGTTTCATTTGGAAACGCCTGTCTCCAGATTAACACAGCCCCGATCCAGAAGGAAGCGTTGCTGGGTTAGAGGGCTTTTCCTGTATTTCTCTCCCCCCCCCCAGCTGATCTTTGGGAAACACTCAAAAGAGCCATTGGGACCTGTGCCCACAGGGAAAAAAACTCACCGGGAGCCACAAAACCCTTCCCATGCCTATTTATCTCTCCCAAGTTCCTTAGAGGCTCCCAGCCAAAAAGAAATATTGGGGAGCCGAGGGGGGGGGCAGATTTAAAGGGGAGATAATGAAGGGCAAACCCCCACTGGGCCCACTCAGCGTTCGTCCGAAATTGGGATCAAATATCCTGGTTCCCCAGAGTCAAGAATTTATGGGTGTCTCCAACCATCCTGGCCAGCTCCTGATTGGGAGGGTCTCTCCCATTTGCAGAGGCACCAAAGTGGGGGAAATTTACCTGTGGGGTGCAGGGCTAGGAACCTATTAACCCCCCTCCCCACAAATATTTAGCCCTTGATGGGTTTTAGTTGACGAGCAGGTGGCTGCAAACAGCTTCCTTTGTGTTTAGTGTGTAATTAATCCTGTTGCCAGGTTGTGTATACCGGCAGTGGACGCCTGATTAAACTTTAATTTGTCAGGATTTATTACAGCCGGCCTTTAATTTTATTATTATTTATTTATTATTTTTTTCCATTCCATCCGCTCCACCTTTCTGGCACAATTTTGCTTGCCAGATTATTTTGCTGAATGAATGAATAGAAAGAACTTCTTTCGGAAGTTTTTTTTAAAAATCTTTTGAGAAGAAATTCTCGGCAGACTTCAACATTTTCTGCTTAGACTTCCTCCTCCTCCTCCTCCTCCTCCTCCTTCCTCCTCCTCCTCCTCCTCTTCNCAGGATAGCAGTCTTCCAATATTTGTGGGGTTGCCACAGAGAGGAAGGGGTCAAGCTATTCTCCAAAGCACCCAAAGGCCAGAGAAGGAATAATGGATGGAAACTGATCTAGGAGATATTCAACCTAGAAATAAGGAGGAACTTTCTGACAGTGAGAACAATCAACCAAGCAAACAGAAGTTGCCTTTGGAAGTTGTGGGAGCTTCATCCCTGGAAGCTTTCAAGAAGAGGTTGGATTGACATCTGTCAGAAATGGTGTAGGGTCTCCTGCTTGGGCAGGGGGTTCGACTAGATGACCTACAAGGTCCCTTCCAACTCTCTTATTCTATCATCATTCTGTTCTTGGATGCTGTAGGATGCCTTGGGAATCGGTCAATGGAACCCATATTGGACTTTCTTGTGCTGCACTTTGAGAATCCTTAGAAGAAAAAGGACTAGGGGAGACATGATAGCAGCGTTCCAATATCTCAGGGGCTGCCCCAAAGAAGAGGGAGACAAGCTATTCTCCAAAGCACCTGAGGGCAGGACAAGAAGCAATGGGTGGAAACTAATCAAGGAGAGAAGCAACCTAGAATTAAGGAGAAATGTCCTGACAGTGAAAACAATTAACCAGTGGAACGACTTGCCTCTAGAAGTTGTGGGTGCTTCATCACGAAGAGATTAGACAGCCTTTTATTGGTCTGAAATAGTATAGGGCTTCCTGCCTGGGTAGGGGGTTGGACTAGAAGACCTCCAAGATCCTTCCCACTTTGCCATTCTATTCTCATTCTCTCCCCCGCCCATGTCTCATGACGGCTGGAAGGAACTGTTTCTGCTGGTGGGAATGTTCAGGGTGAAGGGTATTTATTTATGAAACAACCTGACCTTGCCATCTCTTAATCTCTTTTGCAAAGAGACACTTTGCTCCTGAATTCTAGTTTCCCCCAGGTAACTCTTGCACAAGAACATATCTGCAGGGCGTCCAAACCAGTTCTGGCTTGTTTTAGAGCCTTTAACGATTGCTTATTAATGTTGTTTCTTAGCTTACCCAGCAAGTTTTCTAGTGGCGGTTAGATTCCCCCAGAAATAGCTAGTTTTCCTGTTGGTTCTCCTTATTAAAGCAAATATATATATTATATATATTCCGGTGGAAAGGCTAAAAAGCCAGCGTGGGCTTTTCACAACTTCTCGGTTCGAGTCACTTTGGGGTGTCCAGGTGTGGGAAACATGGCTGAACATGGTTTTTTTTTTCCTACAGCTCATCCTCATCTCACGACCGCGATTGAGGCCAGAATTTAGGTTGCTAAGTGAGTTTTGCTCCATGTGGTGATGTTCATTAAGCGGATCACCACAGGTGTTAAGTCGGGCACACTGTTGTTAAGTGAACCTAGATTTCCCCTTTGGCTCTCTTGACTTGGCTGGTCGCATAAGGGGGTCACGTGACACCCACCCACCGGCACTGTGACTGTCGTAAATGTGAACCAGTTGCCACGGTCACAAGTCTGAAAATATGGTCACCAGTTTCTTTTTTTCCCCATGCCGTTGCAACTTTCAACAGTCGCTAAACGAACACAGCAGGCTTTTTACTTTTCTTCTTGAGGCATCAAGAGGCATCCCAAATTCTTATTTTATAAAAAATAAAATTAAAAAACAACAACAACACAACTTAGTAAAAACACTTCTGGAGTGAATTTCCCAAACCCAGCCTGGAAACCATTAAACATCCTGGCCATAGTAGGAAAGATGCTTTAAGTTTTTCCAGACTGAAAAACCTCTTTAAAAAGCAGATTTGGGAGAAGTCTTTTATGTTGAAAGTTCCCCTCGCCCATATGTGCTAGTCGTTCCTGACTCTAGGGGGCGGTGCTCATCTCCCTTTCAAAGCCGAAGAGCCAGCGCTGCCCGCATGACTCAATGCCGAAGGTGCACGGAACGCTGTGGTGGTTCCTATTTTTCTACTTGCATTTTTTACGTGCTTTCGAACTGCTCAGTTGGCAGAAGCTGGGACAAGTCACGGGAGCTCACTCCGTTATGCGGCGCTAGGGATTCGAACTGCCGACCTTTCTGATCACACAAGCTTAGCATCTTTGCTGCTAAACCACCATATCTTTTAGGGTAATAATTTTTAAAAAGCCCCATTCTTCTTCAGGATTAAGGACCTCTACTTTCCAAAATCCATATTTTAAAACATTGGAAAAGTTTGAGATATCCAGTTTGGGCATTTGATCCTTCGCCTCTTTTTTCATTCCTCGGAAGAGAGTAATGTTTGTTTGTTTGTTTTTAACCCGGTGGCCGAGTTGCGCTTGTCAATTTGAACATTTTGTTGCCTTTAATTTATAAATATTTATAATTTAACACTTTAATTTATAAATAGGAACCAGAGCTGTCAAAAGATGCTTCCGTGCCCTTGTTCCTTGAACAATAGCAGTGATGAAGCCAACCAAAGATTTATTTTTTTGTCATTTTGCAGAAAATCGTAAAAGCTGGAGATAAGGATCTGGATGGCCAGTTGGACTTTGAAGAATTCGTCCACTACCTTCAGGACCACGAGAAGAAACTGAGGCTGGTCTTCAAGAGCTTGGACAAAAAGAACGATGGTGAGAAGACCGGTGGGTTGGTTTTCGGTTGGCCCCTTTTGCATATCACAAGCTTTGAGGTTCACTTCTCTCTTTCTCCTCCCCTCCCTCCCTCGTCTGGATGTCGCAGGTCGCATCGACGCTCAAGAGATCATGCAGTCCCTCCGGGATCTGGGCGTCAAGATCTCCGAACAGCAGGCGGAGAAGATCCTCAAGAGGTAAATGGGCCCCATCTCGAAAGAGGCCGCCTGCACAAACACTTCGCTTTGCCATTGATTTTTCCCCTTAATCTTTCCATCGTAATAGCAAGTCAAGGAACAAGCTGCCCACATGTTTGTCTGTCTGTCTGTTAGCTCTCTAACTAACTAGCTAACTACGTCCACCCATCCATCTATAGAATAGAAGAATAGAATAGAATAGAATAGGGAATGGAATAAGAAATTAGAATATAATATAATATAGAGTAGAGTAGAATGTAGAGTAGAATAGAATAACAGAGTTGCAAGGGACCTTGGAGGTCTTCTAGTCCAACCCTCTTCTCAGGCACTTCTCACCACTTCAGACAAATGGTTATCCAACATCATCTTAAAAATTTCCAGTTTTGGAGCGTCTGTCTGTCTGTCTGTCTATCTATCTATCTATCTATCTATCTATCTATCTATCTATCT